CTTCACCAAGGACAGCTGAAGCCCCACCAAGTGATTCCAAGCCACCCAGTATAATTAAAATTAACTTCAGGGCAACAGCACTATCAGATTTTTTTTCTTTTACTTCAGATGAAAGCTTTGAAATGGCTTGAACCTCTTTTACATATGTATATACTGTGGCCCACTGGGCTATCTCACATCGTGTACTTCTCTCACAGTAGCACATCCCCTTTGGGATACTCCTAAGAGAAATCTCTGTAGAGATTTATTTTCTAAGAAATTTACTGTGGCCTAAAAAACTATTTTGAAATGCTTTCGGGCAAGAGTGATTACAGCAGCTTGTTGCAATACTCCAACAAAGCACTCCAAATTTCATATACAGCCCTGTAATTCAGCTTGAATGAAAAAAGAAAAAAAAAAAAAAACTATGATGAAAAGTTACAGTATCTCTCACTTAATATTCTACTCCACTTAGGGCAACAAGGTGAAAATACCCCTATGTGCCTGGTAGTTCCAAGTTAATTACCATTATGCTAAAACCATTAGGGTAATAATTAAAATGAGATTTTGAATATCAGCTTTTTAAAAAGTGGAACACATTGGGGCGCCTGGGTGGCTCAGTCAGTTGGGCGTCCGACTTCAGCTCAGGTCACGATCTCACGGTCCGTGAGTTCGAGCCCCACGTCGGGCTCTGGGCTGATGGCTCAGAGCCTGGAGCCTGTTTCCGATTCTGTGTCTCCCTCTCTCTCTGCGCCTCCCCCGTTCATGCTCTGTCTCTCTCTGTCTCAAAAATAAATAAACGTTAAAAAAATAAAATAAATTTAAAAAAAAATAAAATAAAAAGTGGAACACATTAATGACCATGAGAACTTGATTTATACTCAACAAAAACTAATGGTCAACTGGCCAGTTTTATTAACTAGCACTCTACTTTCCTAAGTTCCCTAGGAAATATGTTGAAAGCCCAAGTCCTTAACATTTAGAGTTGAATTAAGTGTAAACCATTTCTATGGTCTGGCTGATATGGGTGGATGACTATTTTCAACAAAAGCATAAAATTCAGCCAACACTAAGTGTACTACAAAATTAAAAGTGAATAACTATTAGCTAGAAATTAAAGTATTTACATTGTGACCAGTAATGAACTGGTCACTTAAATGTAGTATAAAAGTGAAATGAGAGTTGTAAGTTCAGAACTGCTGTGTGTTCACAAGGTAGGTACTGCTGCCTTATCTACAACTAAAGAATAATTCACACACTTGGGACCTGAAGATGTTTTTGAAAAAAAGTAAGGGATGTAAATGAACTACGATGGAGATGTCCTAACCTTAAGAAAAACACTGGAAAAAATAAATGACATAAAGAGAACACGAATAAATAGGTAAATGGTCAGGATATAGGTTTCACTGGGTGAAACAAAAATACTGGGTAGAAAAAGAGTGTAATAAAAGAAATCAACAGATCGATATCATTAGCTGAATGGTCTTTGGACTGACTGGTAAGAGCTGAATTCTAGGTAGAAAGAGGAAGGCTGCTGAAAAGAATTAAAAATTATGAACAAAGGGTTTTTTTTTTTTTTTTTTTTTTTGCCCTCTTTCACTTCAGTAGGCTGTAAAAAGGAGCGTGCACACATCTGTAGACAGGGAGAAACATTAGGTGGTAGCAGAAATAACCTATGGAGAACCATCTTGGAAGGCACCTTGTTTCTGCTACAAATGAGCTAGTTCATTCATTCAACAAACATAAGCAATACTGTATATACCAACTGTATTTTGCTAGGCACTGGGAGGGATACAAACACAGAGGAACCCAGTCTTTGCCCTCAGGAACTTATAATCAAATAGAGAACATACTACCAAAACTAGTTTAAGTGCCCCTTGCGTAATTCAAAATAGCTGCTATGGGACTTTAGATGTAAACATTCTCACTCCTAGCTAGGGTGATCAGGGAGGGCTTTATTGGTGGGGTAGCAGGAGCAGCGCTTTAAAGGAGGAATAGAATTTTAAACGAGACAGATGACTAGAGATGACGGGAAGAGGGGGTTCAAGTACACAGGGAAATCTCTGAGTTGGCTGGAAACAGGTATATGGAGTGAGATGGAAGGAAAGAAGATTAAAGCCAGCTTTCACTTCAACTCACAAATACTAGCGTGCATACACTTAGAGATTTTCAAATTTTAACCCAATCACAGAATGTCTCCTAGTTAAAAAAGAAACCCGACTTAGACATTTATTTCACAACTGCGCAAGAAAACCAATCTTAAATTTAGAAAGTTATATAAAAACTAATCTTTTCTACAAAAGAGGACAGACAAGAGAGGGAGTTGGCTGTGTGGCTGGGTGACCTGAAATGGTCACAGCAGAGGCACTAGTAGGGACAACTTCTCATGGCCTTGCCAATGTGCTTTAATTCAGTCAAGAAGGACAACCTTTTAAGAGGAAAGACTTCAGACACCACTGCCAAATCACACTTTTGCTTCTACACAGAAAGTATCAGATAGGATTTGGTGTTTAATGTCTTTTTATTCATGCTCCGAAAAACCACCAAACTCAATCCAACAGGCTAACAGACTTCAAACTTTTCCTTATTCTGACTCACTGAAGTTTACCTTTATTCAAAGCTTTCGTTAAGATTTCACACTTAGTTCCTCCTTATAGCATCAGGCAAAACAATCTTAATATTCTTTAACCCAGTACTCCTTTTTTATATAAGCAGATGATTGGGGAGTAAAAATTGGAATTAACTGGTCCCATGTTCCTTCAACTCTGTGCCTCTGTTTACTCATTTGTACGGGATGGTTATTTTATGTGTCAAATTGGCTGGGCCATGGTGCCCAGACACTTGGTCAAACCTTTCTCTGGAGGTTTCTGTGAAGGTGTTTTTGGATGGGATTAAGATTTAAATTGGTAGACTTTGAGAAAAGCAGCTCACCCTCCATGTCACGGGTGGGCCCTACCCATTCAGTCAGAGGCCAACGCCACGACAGAGCAGAGCCTAACCCATCCTGAGTAAGAGAGAATTCCGCCAGCAGACTGCCTTTGGACTTTTCCGCAACTCTTCCCCTTAGTCTCCAGCCTTCTGGCCTACCCGAGAGATTCTGGACTCACCAAGCCTCTACAATTTCCCCGAGGGAGCTCCTTAAAATAAATCTCTGCCTCTCCACACATACACATTCCGTTTCTCTGGAGGATCCTAATACACACGTTAGGGCCAGAACCAGGAGTATAGCCTGTTGGTCAGACTATTTCCATTTCCCAAGGAGGGGAGAATAAAAGAAGGGAAAGAGTGTAGTCAAAGGGAAGAACAAAGCTAACACATATATCTTTGCTTTTATTTATCTCTAGCTAAGGCAAATAGATTAAGTGTAAAGCAAACCAACTTATACGTACGTATTTTAATGTTCTAAAACCAAAAAAGTTTGACTTGGACTCACAAATTATTGCGCAAAAATAAATATTTCATGCATTTCCTTTCAGGCCCATTCTTCTTCTTCTTCTTTTAAAGTTGATTTATTTATTTTGAGAGAGAGTGTGTGTGTGTGAACAGTGGAGGCTCAGAGAGAGAGGCTCCCAAGCAGGCTCCGCGTTGTCAGCGCAGAGCCTGATGTGGGGCTCGAACTCGCAAACCGTGAGATCATGACCTGAGCCAAAACCCAGTCAGACGCTTAACCGACTGAGCCACCCAGGCGCCACTCAGGCCCATTCTTCATAAAACATCCACACACATATGCAATTATTACCGACTTCAGTCCAACCAGAGTTTCAGAATTATTAAATCTCTATTTCTCACCAAGGACGACAGACCCCAGTAACTGATCTGCTACTATGTGATGATTAATAGTGATGAAATTAATCTGTATTTATTAAATAGGATTATTAACTGTTAAAGCTCAACTGCACATATCAAACAAAGAACTTCATTATTCTACCATCTCAGATCATTATTTCTATTAATGATGAAGACAATTTTATTAAGCAAACTTTCAATAACATTCTAGGGCATTATTAAAATGATATTTTTAGGGAGTCTGTGCCAATTATCCATCTTAGTCTGATGTTTCTCGTGGCACGTCAGCAATTCGTAACATTAGAAATCTTACATAGGTCTGTTTAGGTCAGTATTGCCACATTTCATCTAAACCTGACTGCAAAGAAGCAAGGAATATAATTAGCCATTAATTATATTTGTTCTAATAGGATAAGTATTTCATCTGCAAATAACAATATTTGAGAGAGTTAAAGTCAAGTTATCAGCTTCTGAAGAACATCCTTTTTTGCTACATACTTTTTTGCTACAAATATGAATATCTAATGTAATTATAGTTGAGCATTACATACCATCAACACTCCAAAATTTACTTTTTAGTTAGTAGGAAGGTGGACACATTTTAACAAAAACTATGATAACGAATCTTTCTTACAGAAACTGAGGACTGATTCAAGAAGTAAGCACCTGAACCGGTAAGATCCAGACTGGGGGCAGATGTTACCACTTTAATGACCCAAAGGTTCCGTGGGCCCTTGTGTGTCTACAATGCACAAGAGTCTTAGGTGTGAACAGTCACACACAAATGATTCAAGAGCTTTCACTCTAAGTGGGGGAGTCAAAGGAGGTAGCAGTACTCAGACAATACATTACAGGTCGGAAAATATTTGGGGTAAATAAACAACTAAACAGACAGCAGTGGCAGATGAGAGGGGTAAGAGGAGTGGGAATGGTTTTCTCAGAGAACGAGAATATTTCATCACTGACACTGTTCCCAATTGCCAGCATATGGTGACAATCGAAAGTAACCTCTTTTCATGTTTTTTTGTTTTTTAAATGAATGTTCCTTTTTGAGAGAGAGAGAGAGAGAGAGAGAGAGAGAGAGAGCGCGAGCGCGTGAGCAGGGGAGGGGCAGAGAGAAAGGGGGACAGGGGATGCAGAGAGCCTGATGAAGGGCCTGAAGTCAAGAACCACGAGATCATGACCTGAGTCGAAGCCCAACGCTCAGCCGCCTGAGCCACCCAGGTGTCCCCCTGTTTATTCTCTTATAAAAGTCTGTTTATTATTTTTAAGTCACCTTCAGACGGTGCATCCCTTTGATGCTGGCATCTAGGGTGCACTGCTCCCACTGGCCCCCACCTCTTGGCACACCACTAAAAGACGGGGAGACCTCCAAAATGAAGCGTCCCACACTATCTCTAGGTCAAAGAGAACTTGTCTATGCCACACCAATAGAAAGAGCTCTCCCAAAAGAGAAATTAAAAAAAATCAAACTGTAACTATTTTCACTACTGTAGTTGGTATTACTGTAAGTGGTTCAAATATATTATATATTAACATAACAACTGAAATGCTGATTTGTTTTCAACTTGTATTCATCTAACAAACAGACATATTTTCACGATGAAAAATAACTTACAACCAAAAGAAAATGTAGTGTCATCTCAGCATAATTAGGGAAAAATGCCCTTTTGCCATATTTTATTCTTTCAGAGATCATAAAAAAGGTCGGTAGCTTAAAAGTATCAATAGTTGACTCCCCTAAAAGTTGAAATTTACTTTCAGCTTCATAAGGAACCGACAGACTTGTCTCGCTTCTGTAATTCCACTGTAAATAAAATACCCTAATAATATTAAAAATAAAATTTGCATACGGAAACAAGTTCCTTCAACCGAATTTCTGATGTTACCGGTCCTAGTCTAAATGCTTTCTAGGTATGTGACCTGGAGATAAAATAAGCAGCCTTAAACACATTGCGAGGAGATTTGTTGAAAATAGATGCAAGCACAAGAAATTATGAGACGGCAACATCTGATCTGAAGGCATTAAACACAGAGCAGCTCAGAAAGACTAGGTGCAAGGGGCAGGTCAGCTCCATCTCAACATCTACAGGGCTAAAAGCTAAGTCACTATTGACTACGTCACTGAGTGACTAAGTGACTAGTGATGAAGTCACTATTAGTGACTATGTGACACATGTGATCAGAGACCAAGTCATCACTTCCAGCACTGTGTTTGTAACTGTCTGGAATGAAGGCATTGTCACAGACTTTACTATAGTTACCACCTTTACAAAGAAAAGAACAACAGAGCACAAGGTAATTATGCAATATGGGGAATTTGAGATTTAAATCATTTACATCCAGGAAGATGAATGAACAACGCACCATTTAACGAAAATTTCATGCTAGACGGATTTTATAAAAAGGCATAAATTATTCTGCCATGTGGAATTCTTAAGAATTTAATGTGCATTAACGTGGCAAGGCTTCTCAATAATGTACTCAATAATGATTAATAAATGTTACTGGTCAAAAGTCTGCTACTAATATAGTGGGGCTTAAAAATAAGCAGGTTGATCTCTATCTCTCAAAAAAATAAACATAAAAAAACAACAACCCAGCAGACTGAATTAAGATCTCCTCTCCTAATATGTAACTTAGTTTCAGTAGGCTCCGAAGTTTCATTTCCAAGTTATTCACAAATATATCGATTTCTAGAGTTTGCTTAGCATCTAATAATCAATTAGACTTCATTTATAAAGTGAAAAGTAAACAAAAGCTTAGGAAAACAAATGTGCCCTCTTTCACCTCTTCAGGGAACCCCAGCCAGTATACGTCAGAGAAGCAGGATGCATCATATAAACAGCACGAGGCTAGACTGTAAGGAGACTACAGCACTCTCACCCTTCTACAAGGTTTGTAAGTCTATGCAGCACTGATATGTAGAGACGACTAGAAAATCAACCAACTATAAATGCATCCTTCTGCTTAAACCTAACTACATATCAACTTACCAAATCCCTGTGCAACACCCAGTTAGCATGCAGGTAGTGAATCCCATCTAGGATCTGATACAATAGTGACTTCACCATTCCCCGAGGTAACTGAACTGGCTTCTTGTTTGCTTTAGAAGCTCTGTGAAACTTGATTATATGCTGAAAGAAAGAAAAATATCACCAGAAGCTTAAAAAAGAAAAGAGGGAAAGATCACTTGATGTATAATATTTTCCTAACAGAAAAAGAAACACTCAGGGATTCCCAAAGATATCCAAAAAAATTTCATATTCTGCTGGATAACATAAACTTAAAATTTCCTACTAACTGAAGCTAAAATTTCATTTCCTGAGCAAATGATCGTGTCTCAGAAAACAAATGATTACAACAGAGAAGTTGAGAGCAATGTGATTTTATTTTAAAAGTATAATTAAAAAATACTTTCAGAATATACTTGACCCCTGTTTACCTGGTAGAAATTTTCAAGAACAGAATCTGTTTTATCTGTACTAATTAAATGAAAAGAAAATAAACAGAACAAATTTCAAGAGATACTTATGGGTTGGCTGACATAGCATAAATGTGTTGCCTGTTTATAATACATGGGTTATAAAGGAAGCACACAGGGAAATTATTTCAATAAAATACACAGAAGCATAAAGAAATCACATGTAAATGACCAGTTCACACTGGAAATATTTAGAAATAGCTAAGATTCAGATGAGAAAAAAATAGCCTTGTACTATTCATTAAAAACTTTCTAGGAACAGTATTAGTGGACATCCGGTAAAACACAATACCATTTTATAAACAGGAAAATTGCTTTATAAACAAGTGTACCTCAGTAGAAACAAGATCCCATGTTTCAAACTCTCTTGACAGGTTTCTTCGTTTTAATTAAAGCACTCTTAAACTGCAAGAACACCTACAAATCAGCTGAAATCAACTCTGCTGTGTGTAACGCTAGGCATATGCCTGGTACCTCATGTGCAGAAGAACAGACTCTTGAGCAGTATTTATGGGTGAATATCAACCATATTCTTGACATTAGTAAACACAACTAAAACAGGACAGACATATTTTATATTACAGGTCAACATTTTCACCTCCTATTTTCTTATGACATAGAAAGTAGAACAAGGATAAGGAATAACTAGTAACTCATGAGTGAAGAAGTTTTACTTTCCAAAGAAAAAAATATATAGCAAAGACTACCTGGTGGGAAGTAAAAGTGTCAGCCTGCATGTAGTATGATTAATCTATACTTTATTAGCAGCATAACACTATTTTAATTTTCTTCTGTTATCTGCCCAAAGTATTTTAAAACAGTCAAGCAAAATAGAGCTAAAACTCAATAATCTAGAATGTTCTGTCACACATCCTAAGAAATGGTGTGACAATGAAGTCTGTTCACCTTAAGAGCTAGTGGTTTTCAGAGCTTAATAAAAATAGATTAAAATACATCATTATTTATAAAAATTAAAACTTGACAGAGTGAGAAGAAAAGAATATGTAGGGGAGGTACAATAAATGATGCCATATGCACTCCTCCAGTTAACATTTTTAAGTAATCTCTATCCCCAACGTGAGGTTCGAGCTTACAACTCCAAGATCAAGAGTTGCTCACTCTACTGGCTAAGCCAGTTAAACACCCCTTCAGTTAACATTTTCATTAGGGTTTAACAAATTACTTTTTTACCAATATGTCATAACTACAAAAAACTACACTGGGGAAATCGCTTACCTTCGTTTTTATTCCAGGGCTATATAAAAAATATGCGGAGTGCTTAGCATGAAATTTCACCAACACCTAAGTGATTTTTTTAAATGACTCTTTTTACTGCAACTGTTTTTGTTATCCTCTGCTGCCTTACCCCAGCTAATTCAACACTCCAATTAAAATAAGAAAATGAAATGGATAAAGGAGGTTTTAGTAAACGGAATTATTTTATTTTTATTAAAATGAACATTAAAAGTACTTATTTGACTTAAGGCCAATGATGCCCATGTATACACATCTGGGAACACTGCATGCAGCATAATCTGCGAAAGTATAATTATTATATCGACACGTAAAATTAAATATCACATACTAGCTAGAAATTATACTGAATACAATACGATCTCCTATGTTCAACTATTACAAATCATGATTTATTACAAATTATGTTTATAAACCAGCCTACACAATTTCTCATAAATTTGGATCATATAATTTGATTTCATGTTAGGCTTGAGAATGAGCGTCCAATTCAATATCGGCCACACTAATTTAATAAATTTTTATTAACAGAATCCCAATTTGATTTGATCAGATTTATTTTAAAAGAACAGAAGTGAACAACAACAAAAATATTTACAACCAGCACTGACTGTGGACAATAGTTTCATAGAATAGAAAATGTGATGTCTACTTTCAGTTCAAAACAATTCTTTACAGATAACTTACACAAATAATTTGAATCAAATTGCATTTACTCATGGAAAACAGAAATCCACAGAGTGAAAAATACTTCTTATAAATCTGAAAGTATATGAAACCCATAGAAGTTTCCATTTCTGAAATCCGTTAGGGTTAAAATTATGTAAATGAGGTTAATTCTGGAAATTAGCAAGAGTTGAAAACTATTTTCAGGAGGTGAACTTCCTTCCAAACTATTTACTGTTTACTTGTGTTAGTTTTACTTCAAAATTTTGTTTTTACATTTACAAAGTGCAGCTGAATGAAAACTGTAAATTATTTTGAAGATACCTGAAACCGAGCCAGAATATTATAATCCCTTGCATACCAGTACAGATGGTCCTGACTTACAGTGGTTCAACTTATGATTTTTTGACGTGGTGATGGAGCAAAAGCGATGAGCATTCAGCAGAAACCACACTGCGAATTCTGAAATGTGATCTTTTCCCAGGCTAGCAGCACGCAGGCCAGTGCTCGCTCAGGATGCCAGGCGGCGGCAGCTGCTGTACCTCAGCGAGGGGCAACGGCCAACGCGCTACAACCATTCCACACTCACACAACCATTCTGGTTTTCAAGTTCAGGACGGTGTTCAATAGATGATGTGAGGTACCAAGCACTTCATTACAAAACAGGCTCTGTGTTAGGAGATTTTGCCCAACTGGAGGGGGATGTTAAGTGTTCTCAGCACAGTTAAGGTAGACTAGGCTACGCTATGATGTTCAGCCATCAGGCTAGGTGTATGAAATGTACTTCTGACTTGATATGTTTCCAATCTGCGATGCATTTATCAGGATCTAACTCCATCGTAGGTCAAGGAAGATCTGTATGTATGTTTGTTTTCTTTTATTTATCTCAAGAGATGCACAGCCAGTATAGAAATATACATATAGGCCAGTATACAAAACACAGTGAAATATGTAAAGATCCTATTAAATTACTTATTAAATATCAGAAAAAATAGAGTTCACAGAAGTGAAGCACTTGTTAATGAATTAACTCAATGTAATACTGGGTTTTCGCTTACTTGTTTTATTTTCTCAACTGTAGTTTGTGTTAACATGTTCTTTACACAAGACTGACTGATCAGCATATAAGTTTTGTGAGTATATTTCAAAATTGTTTTGGCTATCTTGCTACAGATTTTCATTTTATATATCATAAACTCTTATCCCCAAGATTGCACTTCAGAGTTTCAAAAAACATAACCGTTATGATTAATAGAGTAAATCTGATAGTTGCCCAAGACTTTCGTAAATACCGGTTTTAAAAACAATCTACTGAGTAAATGCAAATACTGAGTTAGCTCTTAGTATTTCAGCTCTTTAGCCAAGATAAATTTAAATTCTGAGCCAAAGCATAAGAGACTCTTAAAAACTGAGAACAAACTGAGGGTTGATGGGGGGTGGGAGGGAGGGAGGGGAGGGTAGGTGATGGGCATTGAAGAGGGCATCATTTGGGATGAGCACTGGGTGTTGTATGGAAACTAATTTGACAATAAATTTCATATAATAAAAAAAATAAATAAAAGTAAAAAAAAATTTTTTAAATAAATTCTCAGTTTATAATAATTTTTATCAATGTAACATCATTTTTGTCATTATATTAGCTAACCTAATAAAACTCATCTAAGAGACTGTAATCACTTGACTTTGAGAATCTTCAAGGATTTGACTGGAAGCTGTCTTCCACAAAGAATTCTTCCTAAACGAGACCATGCCCAATTCAAGTAAGTACAATACTGAATTTCTGTTTATGGAAATAAGGAATACATTAGAATATGGTATTAAGTGTGAATAATATCCAGGAAATGATTAATAGTATGTTAGATTTGTATACTACACTTAGCTTATGAAGCTTTCCAAATACAAAATTGCTCTTCCAAAAAATCCTGTAGAAAAGCAGGAAAAGTATCACATTTTACAGATGGGGGGGGGCACCTACAACTTCAGAGCCCCCCCCCACTCAGAGCCATTAAGAGACTTGCCTGATGTTGTATGACAAATAACAGAATGACTAGCTCTAACGTATTTGTCTCCCTACACACGGATACCACTTTCTCATCTTATATTCCTTTACAGAGTAAAAGGAAACATGCTGCTTTTAAATCCTAGAACAAAATGGCTATTACAGTTACCTTAAAAATTTTATCAAAAAATCTGTAGCTAAGATACCACACCGAATAGTTGTTTATACTGTTCAGATTCTACTGTTTTCTGTAGCATGTTACAAAGATGAAATTGATAAGACCAAAAAGTAATAATACAGAGCAAAATACCCTAGTCTTGGTAATTCATCAACCATATTCTGTGAGATCACTTTTACTTAAAAAAATGTAAATCTCACAGTAAGATAAACTCCTAAAATTGTTTTTAGTCACCTTTAATCCCTGACTAAAACCAATGACTTGATGCCTACCACAATTCACCTTACCCAGAGGTCATGTTCAGCGTAGTCAAACAGAAGCCATACTTTCCTATCAGCATGAGACAGAAACACCTTTTGAAGAGAGATGACATTTGGATGCTTAAGCTCTCGAAGTAACTGCAAAATAAGGAAGATCCATTAAAAATTTTTGCTATGAAAATCATGTTAAATAAACCACACCATTTGTAATTCACAGGCAATAAAAACCCAATGGTAATAATCCTAAAAATCTCATAACTACCCACACTATTTTAAAAGTGTCCATACAGGGGCGCCTGGGTGGCACAGTCGGTTAAGCGTCCGACTTCAGCCAGGTCACGATCTTGCGGTCCAGGAGTTCGAGCCCCGCGTCAGGCTCTGGGCTGATGGCTCAGAGCCTGGAGCCTGTTTCTGATTCTGTGTCTCCCTCTCTCTCTGCCCCTCCCCCGTTCATGCTCTGTCTCTCTCTGTTCCAAAAATAAATAAACGTTGAAAAAAAAAAATTAAAAAAAAAAAAAAAGTGTCCATACAGATGAGGAAAAACTGTTTGGAAAAGATATAATTGAGTAAATCTGTTTTGTTGTTATTGTTTAGTTGGTTTTCTTATTTCATTTTTATTTTTTGTGATAAAATACATAACATTAAAATTACCATTTTGGGGCGCCTGGGTGGCGCAGTCGGTTAAGCGTCCGACTTCAGCCAGGTCACGATCTCACGGTCCGTGAGTTCGAGCCCCGCATCAGGCTCTGGGCTGATGGCTCAGAGCCTGGAGCCTGTTTCCGATTCTGTGTCTCCCTCTCTCTCTGCCCCTCCCCCGTTCATGCTCTGTCTCTGTCTGTCCCATAAATAAATAAAAACGTTGGAAAATAAATAAATAAATAAATAAATAAAATTACCATTTTAACAATTTTAAGTGTACAATTCAATAGCATTAAGTCTCCTCAAAATGTTTGCAACCATCACCACTACCCATTTTAGAACTATTTATGATCCTAAAGAGAAACCCTGTACCCATTTAACAATAACTCCCCATTTCCCTTCTCTTCTCTCAGCCACTGCTAACCTCTACTCTACATCGTCTCTATGATTTGCCTACTCTAGGTACCTCTTTTAAAGTATTAGAGTCATACAGTATCTGTCCTTTGGAGTCTGGCTTATTTCACTTAGCATAATATTTTGAAGGTTAAGCCACACTGTAGCACTAGCAGCGTCATAATTTCCTTCCTTGCTTGGGGCTGAATACATTCCACGGTATGTATGTACCATCTTTTGTGTATCCATTCATCTGCTGATGTACTTGAGTTGTTTCCATGTTTTGGCTGCTGTAAACAATGCTGCTGTGAACACTGGTATGCAGCTACCTGAGTCTCTGCTTTCGATTCTTTGGAAATATACCCAGGAGTGGAATTGGTGGATCATATGAGACTTCTGTGGTTCACTTTTGGAGGCAACACCAAACCGGTTTTCACAGCAGCTGTACCATTTTATATTCCCATCAGCAACGCATGAGGGTTCCAATTTCTCCACATCTTCATCAACACCTATTTTTCCTTTTTCTCCCCGTTCTTTAATAACAGCCACATTGTAACAGATATGAAGTAGTATCTCACTGTGGTTTAGATTTGCCTTTTCCCTAACAATGGGTTAGGCATCTTCTTTAAGGTGCTCATTGGTCATTTGTATACCTCCTTTGAAGAAATGTCTATCCAAAGTCTTTTGCCCAATTTTGAATTGTTTTTTCTTCTTGTTGTTGTGATCCTTTAGCGTAGATATTAATCCCTTATCAGATAAATGATTTACAAATGTTTTCTCCCATTTTGCTAGTTGTCTATGTTTTGACATCATAAAACAATTGAACTTAAATGTGTAGTTTGCAATTCTTAAAAAAAAAACTAATCACAACATTAGAAAATACAACATTTATCAATATCAAATAGCAGATAAGAATTAAGATCTGTAATTCTGTGAGATATGGTACCTATTTTCTCAGGCATTTCAAATATATAGTAAAATTGATTAAAATATTTTAGCCTTTAATAAAATAATAAAGAACTTATGCAGACAGAAGCATCTAAGTAGAACACATTTTTATGGGTTTAACCTTTCTCATTTCCTAGAAGGACATTCTTTTATCTAAAATCTTTTATCTCCTTATTTTATTCTCATTTCATAACCAATGTGGCCCTAATAATCCATTAGGATTAAAAGGTTAAAAAGTATTCCTACCTTGTCAACAACAGCTCCAACAATGACAAGAAAAAATTTCTCATGAAGCCTCATACTACGTATTTATCAGTTACAACTGACTTACACAGTGGCTTCCAAATGTGTTCCAAATACATGACAGCCATGTGAGAAAGTCAAGGTCTTGGAACTTACGACTTCAGTACCTTTTATAAGAACATTGCTACCAAAACAAGAATTAATATAAATACAATGTTAACAATATATTAGGGACTCTAAAATGAATTCAGCAAAGGAAAGACTATGAATGGACTGTATGTTAAATCACTTACATTAACGATTATTCTCCGGAAAGTGATAATTATTTTATTCAGAAGCAAGATTAAATTCAAGTTATCTATTTCTGCTTTTAGAATATAATTTCAAAGCTATGAGACTTTAGAGAGTACACACAAATCCTCAGAAACCTAAAGGGGCAGTATTTAAGATTAACCATTTCCTAATTAGTAAACAAGGCAAAGAATCTGATAGGGGAAGTCTAGACTTCGGAGTCACCCAGGATAATCCAGCTGGCTGGAGAGCCAACCCTAGTGCTCAGTTCACCTTAGTTCTGGGTCAAGCGTTTTCTCTATTACCTCACGATTGGAACACACTTCTCAGGCACTATTTCAAATCACTTCTGGAAAGTGGCAGGGTAGAAATTACGACAAACTCCATTAGAAACCTACATATAAAGCTATTCTTAGATAACCCCTCAATTTTACTTCCAAGATGAGGCTTAGCTCCGGTACTGGGGAAGTGGGGGAAACAACCAGCAACATACTTTATTAAGTTCTCTAGAGGCCCAAACATGGTGCTAAATAAGCAGAGGACATGCCTTATCTCGCTTAATCATAAATTACTGTATGAAATATTTATATTACTTCCATCTTATAAATGAGAAAATAGTGGTTTGAGGGTATTAAATAATTTGCTCATGGTCATAGTCCTGGGTAGTGGTTACGATCAGGCTTTAAATGCTTTTAAAACTAATTAATTGACTTTTAAAACACAAAGCCAACACTCTAAGGTCTAATACCAATACCTTCCAAGACCTAACACTGGGGGGGGGGGGGCTATTTCTCATTATACTTCATAAGCACAGATGTCTAAATATATACTAGGGTGTGAAATGCACAGTGACAGGCACAGTGCCTTGCTCACCATTTCACTGCTAGGTTCTAGCACACTGCCTGGGCACCTGGTAGGCACTCATTTGGTATTTGATGATTAATGAATTTGTGAATTAAAAAATATATACAAATGTACAGGCATCATACAAAACACCCTTTGGCTTCTGACCTGTGGACTAAGATCACTGCTTTCATCATAAAACCAGTCTACTTCTTTTAAGAATGTACTTCTTGGGGCGCCTGGGTGGCTCACTCGGTTTAGCATCCAACTCTTGATTACGGCTCGGGTCATGATCTCGCAGTTTGTGGGTTAGAGCCCCTCAATGGGCTCCGCACGAGTTCAGAGCCTGCTTGGGATTCTCTCTTCTCCTCGCTCTCTCTGCCTCTCCCCTAGCTTTCAGAATAAATAAATAAGCTTAAAAAAAAAATCCACTTCTATTTTTAAAACATCTACCTGATGAGTCAGACAACAAATCTTCGAGGGTAATAATTTAAAAATATATTAACAGTCAGTGCTATCATTATCATAGTAAGTAAGTAACAGTAAGTGTTATGGACTGAACTGTGTTCTCCCTCACATTCATATGTTGAAGCTTTAACTGCCAGTACCTCAGAATGTGACTGTATCTGAACATAAGACCTTTACAGAGGCAATTAAGTTAAAATAAGGTCATTAGGGTGGCCCTAATCCAATCTGAATGGTGGCCTTATAAGAAGAGATTAGGTAGGACACACAGAGAGACACCAGGGCAGCTGGTACAGACAGGACCTTCCAAGAGGTCACAAGAGAATAGTCGTCTGCAAAACCAGGAGAAGCCACAGAGGAAACCCAACTCTGCAGACTCTCCAATTTTGGACTTACAAGTTCCACCAGGAGAGAGTCAGTTTCTGTTGCTTAAGCCACCCAGTCCATAGTATTTTGCTCTGGCAGCCTTGGTAAACTAACTCAGTAAATAACTACTATTAG